ACTTTCAAATGACACCAAGGTCAATGACCTTGTGACCTTGACTGTAGCCAATATGCTAAAAATATTTTTTTTTCAAACGTTAACCTTCGCCATTACTTTTGAACCGTAAAAGATAGACTTCGTATTTGGTATGCATACACAATTGATCTAGGTCTTTTAAATAACATCATGGTTAATGACCTTGTAACCTTGACTGTGACCTATACGCTATCTAGAGCTTTAATTGACGGCAAACTTTAACCTTCGCCATAACTTTTGAACGAAGAAAGATAGAAACTTAATATTAGGCATGCATACTTCACTATTTTAGCCCCTGCACATGACCAAAGTCAATGACCTTATGACCTTGACTGTGTCCTATTTGCTAAAAATGAGTTCTGAAGAGACAAGGAATTGCATGTGGAAAATTGAATGAAGATTATTTTAACGAAATAAACATTGCAATTATATTTTTTATATAAAAAACTTCACTTTCAGGAGTTATTTTTCCTAATTAACCAAGACTGAAAACACTAAGAAACGTTTGTGTTTTATATCCTACGTTCAGTACAAAGCTGTGAATTTCCAGAGTATGTATTGAAATCAATAATTTAAAAGCAAATATATAAATCAACACCTACACAGTATATAGCGCAAGTGAATATTTTTTTTTTTAATTCAACAAGGCTATAGATTTTTACTCGAATTTCCTCCATTTAAACATGCCATTGAATGAAAGAGCTCACTTCTTCGCTATGAAATTGTTGCTTGTTGGGCGAAAATTTGACTGATGTTTTTTTTTTTTTTCTACTTAGAAACAATCCTTCTTTATGTCTCTCAGTATTTCCTAGATACAAACAGCTCACCGCAGCTTTGTTTTGCTCAGAATTCTATTTCAAATACGACAGGACAAATATCTGTGAAAATGAAAATGTCATATAGTCAATAGTAAATGACGAAAAATTAAGTTTTACAAACAAGGGGGAAAATCAGCAAAAAACAAAACAGACATTTTGCACGCATAAATAAATATATATATTTTACAAGATATGAAAACATACGTTCTGATCTACCCCATAGAAAATAGGTCACAAAGAAAACTTTAGTTCTGACTACATACAACATAAACTTATCCGAATACAAATACAAATACGGCCGATCTTTAAAAAAGTTTGACATCAAGAACAAAAACTTGTAAAACAGCAATTTTAAATAAAAAATTTTTTTATATCATAGACAGACTTCACTATATAGGTACACTGTATATACTTCTTACATGTGAAAAACTTAATATGTCTAAGCAAAAAATAATAAACAAAAATAATAAGTGGAATTGAGAATTGGGATGTGTGGGGCAATTAAAATCCAAAGGGCTAAAAACGTGTGTCCTCGAATCAATGTTTAGCAATAATAACAAAACCACGTGACTCTTTATTTAATTCTCATTGGATAATGCGCCATCAACTTGGCTCATATTTCCTGGGGCTCAACACAGGGTTAAATCAACGGGGGTTCCAAAATGGGGCAACTATTTTTACAGAAAATGTATCGCCATAAATGCTATTATGTACATAATAGGCGTTTTATGTCTCTCACTATTTCCTAGATACAAACAGCTTATCGCGGCTTTGTTTTGCTCAGAATTCTATTTCAAATACGACAGGACAAATATCTGTGAAAATGAAAATGTCATTTATTAAATAGTAAATGACAAAAATTAAGTTTTACAAACAACGGGGTAAATCAGCAAAAAAACAAATCAAACATTTTGCACGCACATTTAAATATATACATTTTACAAGATATGGACACATGTATACGTTCTGATTCCCCCCATAGAAAATAAGTCACAAAGAAAACTTTAGTTCTGACTAGATACAACATGAACTTTATAAAAAATTACATACGGCTTACAAAAAGCAAAAGATGGCGACAAATACGGCCAAAGATATGATAATCAGATCATATCCCGCGCCATCAATCCTTCTTGGTGTATGCATAATTAATTCGTTGCTTTGTTTTCACTTTTCATAACATGGCATGTTTCAACTTGGGTCAAAGTCTTGTATAGGTCTCGAGGTGTGAAACTGATGTCACTTAGTTACACTACCAAAACCTCGAGTTAATGCCTACCGTATCAAATAGGTTCTGCCAGCAAATCACATGTTACACCTCCCCGTGGTGGCTCTAGAAATTCTTTCAGTAGCTGAGTGACAGTGGCAAAAGGCAGCGCCATTAAATATGTACATTACACATAATGTAGCTTCAGACCACCACCTAGTACAAGGCACTATAAAAGTCAAGTTCAAATCCTTCAAGGACAACTATGACAGACCACACATCAAGTTTAATACCCAGAGACTTCAGGAAAAAGGCCACAAGAGACACCTTTGGCATTTCACTGAAAAACAGATTTGAGGTCCTAAACAATGTTTGTCAAAAAAACCTCTACTAGAAGAACACTGGAACTCCATCAAAGACAACTGGAAAGACACATGCGAAAAGAGAAAAGGGAGACAAGGAATGGCTTTCAGGAGATACATGGAAACTGGTCGATGAAAGAAAACTTCTCAAACAACAGATAATCAGCTGTGAGGAGGAACAAAAGAAACAAGAATTAAAAGACAGACAGACTATTTCAAACAATGAAGTAAAGAAAAGTGCAAGGAGAGATAAAAGACACTTTTATAATGTACTAGCTACAGAAGCTGAGGAAGCGGGAGAGAAAAGAGATTTCTGTATCATGTACAAAATCACATGAACCCTGGCTTGGAAAAGACCACCACAGACCAAGCATGTAAAAGACAAGGAAGGCAACACTATAACAAAGGAAGAAGACAAGAGAAATTGCTGGGCAGAACATTTCAGAAAACTCCTAAATCGCCCAGCACCAGAAACAACACCAAACAAACCACCAGGATACTCTGAACTAGCAGTGATCACTGCCTCTCCCACAAGGGCAGAGACCATCAAGGCTCTGAAGAAACTAAAGAGTGGGAAAGCAGCTGGGCCTAATGGAACCCCTCCAGAAGCCCTTAAAACAGACCCAAAGACTTCAGCAGATATGTAACTACCTCTCCTGCAGAAGATATGGTCAGAGGGAAAGGTACCAGCTGATTGGAAAAAAGGGATATCTAGTGGAGCTACCCAAGAAAGGAGACTTGGGACAATGCAAGAACTGGCGTGGCATCATGCTATTCTCTGTCGCAAGCAAGATCCTAACAAGAATAATACTGGAAAGGCTCAAAGATGCTATAGAAGAACGACTTCGTCCAGAACAGGCAGGTTTTAGAAAGGATAAGTCCTGTACAGACCAGATGACCACTTTACTTGTAATAATTGAACAGTCACTGGAGTGGCAGTCAACACTTTATCTTAACTTCATAGACTGTGAAAAGGCCTTTGATAGTGTTGATAGAAAAATCATCTGGAAATTACTACAGCATTATAGAACGCCTCCTACCTTTATCAACCTGATACAACAATTGTAGGACGAGGCAACATGCCAAGTCATCCACAATGGAAAGTTTACTAAAGCGTTTGAGGTATAGACTGGGGTTAGACAAGGCTGTTTGCTGTAACCAATGATTTTTCTTGTGGTAGTGGACTGGAGACAAGGAAAGATAGTAAGACAGGAGTCCAGGGGACTTTCACTCAGTGTTTGGAAGACCTTGACTTTGCTGATCTATGCCTCATGTCCCAGAAGTATGAGCATATGCAGCTCAAAACAAATAGGCTTGCAAAAGAAGCAGCAAAGACAGGTCTAAAGGTGAACATCAAAAAGACAGAGGTGATGCGGCTCCACATCAAACAGCAAACGCCAGTTACACTTGGAGAGCGCAACTTTAAAGATGTAGACTCCTTTACATACTAAGCCAGTATCGTCACAACCATTTGTGGAACAGATGAAGACATAAAAGCTAGAATTAATAAAGCTAGACTCATTCGACAGATTTCAACAGCACTATCCACACACATTAAAATTCCGCATCTACAACACCAATGTCAAGTCTGTGCTCCTCTACGGGTCTGAAACATGGAGAGTCATCAATACCACCTCCAACAAACTACAAACCTTCGCTAACAGATGTCTGCGCCACATATTAAAATTCAGATGACCAGAAACTCTAAGCAACAAGAACATGTGGAAGAAAACAAACCAAGACCCAATCACTAAACGAATAGCCCGCAGAAAGTGGCGATGGATTGGACACACATGTACCCTCCGAAAACCATCAGGAGACGTTACGCGCCACTCACTCAATTGGAACCCACAAGGCAAACTGCGAGTTGGGCGTCCCAGAAAAACTTGGCAAAGGTCATGTAAAGAGGAGATCAGGCAATGTGGACACACCTGGGAACAACTGAAAAAGGCTGCCCAGAATAGAGTGCGGTGGAGAACTGTTGCCGAGGCCCAATGTTCCACCAGGAACCAAATGGAAACATGATGATGTTTCAATTATTTTTAAAGTGTTTTAAAGGTGTGGTGATTTTATGAAGGTACCTGTACCATTGGTTCCAAGAGGAAATTTGTCGTGACAATGGAGGTTATTTTTTTTGTAGTACATGTACATAGTGTACGTCATCAAAAAGTGGTGTAATGAGCCTCCTTAATGGAGTAAAATGGAGTAAAATATTTTTTTAGCTTCATTTTGTGAAAAGTGTTGGGATTTACATGTATTAAATTGTCTTATAAACTACAAGTGTTTTTGCAATCGGAATGTATTACCGAATTTTCTTAATTTCAGAATCTTTCTAGAAGTATAGTTACAGGTAAACGCATCTGTTAGCAAAACAAGAATGATCAATATTAAAATTATTGATCATTTCCTCACTGCGTAGTGAAATCATTTTTGTCAATAATCTCAAAATTATTCCATTAATGTTCCATTATAATCATTTACTGAAATATATTGCAGAATGCCCTACCTCATTGACGATAAACTGGGGAAAAAAGTACTGCTTCGTGAAAAACTTACTTCGATGGCAGGCTGCCAGGGTAGGTAATTTAAGAGAATATACTGTATATATGTAAGACTCCAAGGTCCGATGGTGACGCCAAAGTCCGATGGTCTCGCCAAACCCCGATGGTCTGCGCCAAACCCCGATGGCACGCGGTCTTTACGGACGCCAAAGTCCGATGGTCACGCCAAAGTCCGATGGTTGGTTTCCTATGAGACGCGCGACGCTAAAGTGCGATGGTCTGATACGCCAAAGTCCGATGGTGCGGGAATAGCTGTTAACGTTTATGACGTCATAGTATTCTGACGTTAATCTTCTAATTTTCAAAACCCAAAGAAAAACATGGATGCGGCAGTTTGTCCGGATGACGGATATATCTTTGAAAAGGTTAAGAAGAAGCGGGAGACAAATGACCCAAGTCCGGAGCAGTTTTGGTCCGTTATGAAAGATGTCGAGAAAATATGCAAGTTAAAGGCAGAAAATTCCGCATGGGGAGCAAAGAGAATTAAGGAGGAGCTAGGTATTTCAATGGGGGAAACAAGTGTACGGAAATATGTGTCAAATTTTATATACGACATTGACACCGAGTCCACCTTCTATAGGAGCTCGAAAGTAAGCGAGGTACATAGAAGAGTTCTATCCAAGGATCAGCTGATCGTTGAGATTCAAAGAAATCACAATGTGGATCACAGAAAAAGTGATGCCATCTACGAGACAATCAGGAAAACATTCTTTCCTGTCACTCGGGAAAATGTTCGACTTCTCTTCAAACAGCATGTAGAATGTAGCAAGTGTCTTGCAGCAGTTGATCTGCCGAAAACGGAGAGGACGAGACGTCCAATTCCGGCATCATACCCTAACAGCAGATGGCAAATGGACCTAAAGAAAATGCCACCATGCAGAGGATTCAATTACATTTGTAACATAGTAGACTGTTACAGCAGGTTTGCTTTTGGAGCCTGCTTAAAGCAGAAAACAGCGAAAGAAGTCTCAGACGTTCTTCTGCGCTTTATCTACTTATTCGGGCCTCCCAGAATCCTACAAACCGATAACGGGAAAGAATTTAATAACGCTGATTTATCGGCCGTAATGGATGAATTTAAGACAAGGCATGTTAATGGTAGACCTTACCATCCCCAGTCCCAAGGTATTTTTTTTTTATCTCGCTGTATTGCCTAATTGCAAAATTCCTTATACTTAGTTAAATAGTATAATAGTGTTTAGATGTACTACAGTTCTAAACATGTCAAGTTAATCAAAATTTCTAGATCTAAAATTTCATTTTTAATGAATCAAAATTGCGTTTATACATGTACAAGGGGTGCTGAAGTAATATGGAAAAGAAAATTAAAATTGCCGAGTGTAGTGTGAGCAAGAACAAATAAATTTTACAGGTCGAGTCGAAAGGTTTAATAGAACCGTGGTGGCATACTTCCGGACCCAATTTGTCGACACCAGAGACTGGCCACGTAACCTGGAGGAGTTTTATTATAAGTACAACAACCGCGTCCACAAGTCCACAAAACCCATGACACCACATCAGATGTTCTTCAAAAGACCAAACTTCTCTGTCGTAGTAGAAGAACAGGTAAAAATATTCTCATCGTTGTGTAGAAAAAGCTATGAACACATTCCATATAAGTCAAATAGAGACGGTGAAAGGACTAACCCTAATCAGTCAAAAAGAGTGCAGTCTAATGGGACACAAAGACTAAACCTAATTAGTCAAATAGAGTGCAAGGGCTAGCCCTAATCAGTCTACTGGGGCGCAAGAATTAATCCATTTACTATTCAAATAAAGTGCAAGACTTAACCCTAATTAGTCATATAAAGTGCAAGAACTAACCCTAATCAGTCTAATGGGGCACAAGGACTAACCTTAATCAGTCTAATGGGGCACAAGAACTAACCCTAATCAGACTAATGGGGTACAAGAACTAACCCTAATCAGTCTAATGGGGCACAAGAACTAACCCTAATCAGTCTAATGGGGCACAAGAACTAACCCTAATAAGTCTAATGGGGCACAATAACTAACCCTTATTACATAGAAAGGGGGAGGGGGAGGGGTAAATTTGTGGTATAGTCTGCGATTAATAATCCGTATATCTCAGTTATTTTTACAAAGAATATCCTCAACATTTCGGCTGAAATGCGAGGGTTAACTTAAACCCGATAAAATGAGAGCTACTACATGTAACCATAATTAGTCTTTTTTTTATATTACTCATTGAGCGCAGAGATCTTGTGGATCTGAGGATCAGTTAAATAAAAACAATCAGTTTAAAGTGATTCAATGATAAATGACATCTACATTTACCGTACAGGGTTGATATGGAATGTAACCTTTTGAATTTTCTTAGATTTATAAATGTCAAAAATCATAAATTTTAGATATCGATGTGCAACTTAACAAGAGAGGAGAGAGAATTTCTGGAAAAAGCTCACCTTGATGTCGATGAGGATGACGCAGATGAACAAAGTAATGACAAAAAGGACAATGAAATTGACAGCAATAACACGGATTCAGAGGTGCTACATAACTTTTAAATGTGCGAAAACAATAATCATTGGCTAAAAATAAATTAACTAATCGATAATGACGATGATTTAAAAAAAAATTGGTTGATTTATCCTGTTTAAACTACGGCAGAATTAATTGAGCAAATACATATAACTTAACTAATCGTCTATTTACTATCTGTGCTTTTTTTTTAGTCAAACCATGCCAACCAAAATATAATTTCAACACAACTGCCAATCACGTCAACAAGTGATGATGAAGCAACGGTAGGACCCCCCCCCTCCGGTTCCTTCATTTATATTTTTTTTTGTGTTGATTAATGAGAAATGTGGACTTGTAGTTTACTTTGTCGACGAATGATGATATATGGACACGGTCCGATTTTAAACATTTCTATATAGTTTAATGGGAAATGTGGAGTTTAAATTAACTTTTTAATATGACGAACGTTAGGACCATTGCCTCCATTTTGACCATTTCTAATATTAAAATTGTGGAGTTTAAAATTATTTTTTTTTTAAACAGGTCACTACTGGAGATCTGAATAAGCTCCCACTGGATTTGTCTCCCCTGCCCCGTGAAAGCACTAAACCACTGCAAGATGTAACAAACACTCAAGTTATGCGCACCGCTCAACAAATGCAGGTAATAACATGCAAATATCATATAGGGTAAAAAATACTGACCCTTGTTCTATATTGAAAATTGTGGAGTTTTATAAAATTATTTTTTTTAAAACAGGTCACTACTGGAGATCTTGATAAGCTCCCGCTGGATTTGTCTCCCCTGCCCCGTGAAAGCACTAAACCACTGCAAGATGTAACAAACTCTCAAGTTATACGCAACGTTCAACAAATGCAGGTAATAACATGCAACTATCATATGGGGTAAAAATACTGAGTAAGGGATTCATTTTAATTGCAATCTTTTTTGTTGTTATTGTGAATAATTTTTACATGATGCACTTTAAAACTGTTTCAGTACGGTGTAAGTCCATACTACAAAGATTTGTATAACCGGCTATTCCAGTACCCCGCAGTCAACAATAAAAGAAGATACTCAGACTCTATGTGCTCCATGAAAGAGGTAAGACCGAATTCTTACACTTGGAAAATTGAAGAGCAATTGATAAAGACATATTAAATGATTTAAAGATTATAAAATTTATCCAACAGAATTCTGACCACTGGAACAACGACTTGTATCCACTGGAACTCTTTCCTAAAAAACCAGCGACTGTAGCAACACTGCAGAAGTTTGATCCCGCAGTAGACGACATCGTAGATTTTAAACCGAATTCGGCGCTTTCTGCTGGTACAAACGTTTTCCTATCGGGCTACTGGAGGAAAGGACGGGTAACTAAAGTTGACATGGACGATAGCAAAGGAAAAGTGTACACTGTGGAGGACTGCGAGAACTATAAAATTCACCTTTTGTCTAAATATCTAATGCGTCCTAACATGCTGTAAATTGCAAATGTACAATTAAGGGTCTTGGAATAAATATTATTATAATGGATCTAGATTAAATATTGGTATTATTTTCAACAATTTGTTTTGTGAATTGAATTGAATTGAATTTTTAGATCAACCGTTGTTCATTATAACTAATTTTTTTCGTATTTCATTGTACCATTTCATGACTCAGCGCCGAAATTTGGCGCCATAGTATGATGACGTCACAAACGTGTGTCGTTTTCCAGCACCATCGGACTTTGGCGTGTCAAACCATCGGGGTTTGGCGACTGCACGTGAACCATCGGACTTTGGCGTGTCAGACCATCGGGGTTTGGCGCAGACCATCGGACTTTGGCGTGACCATCGCACTTTGGAGTCCCATCGCACTTTGGAGTCCTACATATATATATATATATATATATATATATATATATATATATATATATATATATATAGAGAGAGAGAGAGAGAGAGAGAGAGAGAGAGAGAGAGAGAAAACATTTAATATATAATATATGTATTTATCGAAATTAACAGCTTGCACTTTGTCCAATGGATTCACATATACTAGTTATGTTAAACACACACACACACAATGTCTTTAATAAACAAAAGTGTTATTATCTTTTTTTATAAAAACTAAATCTGAATCTATTTTTATCGATTTAAAACCGTTTATATTTTTACATTTCACTTTTTTTTTCAAATTTTGCAAAGACATGATATCTCTAAATTGGGGTATGCGTGTTCAATAGGCAAGAGTTATCTTTCTTATAATTCTTTTTTGATGGTAAAAATGTTATGCATGCGCTCATTAAAATTCTTTTATGTAGTAAACCATTAAAAAAGCAATTTTTTCTTAAACATTTTTTTCAAAAACATATGTATTTATTTGTCATTTTAAGAGGAAGATCAAAATGACAAAAAAATAGTAATATCACATACTATTAGGCTGATTTTCACCATTTAGCTTTTCTTAATAAAATTCACCTGGCTTGGTATATTTTTCTTAAGTTTATATTACACTTTTTGCACCATGTTAACATATTCTGAAATTTGTTTTCACCTGTAAACCTTTACTAAATGTACTTTGTCTATATTTCTTTTTTCATTGAAATATTACTAATATTTTCCAAGTCTTTTTCACATTCCAGTTCTTAGGAGGAAAAATTTTAAGAAACATCTACATTTCTTAACTTGTGACATGATATTAAATCTTTTTCAAAGCAAAGAATTGTTTGTATCATCTGTCCTTAACATAGCTGAGAGGTGCCTTGTATGGGTAAGTATCTCGATCTATGTCTACTGGTCACACCCATTGTGTGCTCCTTGTCATAAGGTAATCAGAATTGATTAGGTTGATGGGACAATCCGTAGACATCTCAGTATGAAAGTAATGGCCTTAACAATTTGCGTGAAAACGTTAGTCAATATTCGACTTTACAATAGTTTGTATTTGCTTTCAAGATCATTGTATCGACCATAGAACTTGCCGAATGTTGACTATAAAATAAGACTTTTTATTTCTTCGTTTCATCAACTGTTTCTTCAATTGCTAACCTCGTTTTAGAAATTTATTTGTACGTTAAACATGGTCTTGCGTATTGAATCAGGGTAGAAACATAAACTCCATATATGGGAGATACTAGTACAAGGTTACCGTAATAGGGGAGTTGACAAAAGAAAAGTTGATGTCTTCTCGTTAATCGTAAAGTTTTTTTTTTTTTTTGGTTGGTATTACATGTACAATTATCTTCTTTTTAAAGTAAATATCTAAACATAGAACAAATAAATGTTTTATACTCTGTGATTTCTTCTATTTCGAAAAAAATGTAACCTATCAACATAGGGATGAAATGAATATTGTTAATTCATATGAAGTCGATGATGTATATATATGACTTTTTCATTGTTGAATTGAAAGCCACATCAAGATACTTCATTTTTTCTTGCACAATTTCTTTTCATGTACAGTTTTCGAAAACGAAATTTCTTGATATGAACAAAAAAAGGTTTGCTTATAGCGGGTTGCACCCGTGCGACTAGAAGTTGCAAGTTGCATTTGCAATTTCCAAGTAAATCACTTGGAATTCTTCATTTGCTTTTTCCGAATCACGATTCGGAGTATTGGAAAAAATTTCCAAATGGTTCCAAATGACTTCCAAGCTGTTTCCGAATGACTAAAATTTTAATTTTTCTTTTAGAAATTTCTAGAAATTTCCAAATGACTTCAAAGTTGCTTCCAAATGACTTCCGAATAACTAAATCTAACAAATCAAAGCAAATTTATCATTGGCTTATATTTAAACATGTTATTTAGATAACGAAAAACCGGTGATTTGAAATGATATTCATCACAAAAACATTACTCTCTTGGCATCATTTAATGATATTTTTATTCAATGTATTTAGAAAAGACAACCCTCTCTGGTAGACTACTATCCTGTAAAATTGTTTTATGAATTAAAATACTCACTGATACAGAATATTTGCAAAATTCAAAATCACAATTAAAGGCATACCGGTAATTAAGGTATCTGCTAGGTTTATGAACTTACGTCAATGATAAAAGTCCAGCACGTTTTATAATAATCAGGAACATGTATCGAGGCAATAAATAATTTCCAAAATATTGATTTATTTGTTATTATTATTATTTGTTTTCAGAAAAAAATGTTTCAATGTTCGAAAACAAAACAAAAAGAAAAAATTTGAAAAAACATTCTACATTTGTTCCTTTTCCCTCTCTAACTGCATTTAGTATATACCTACATGTAATGTGTACCACTAGATTTTACTGCTAATTTTACGCAATCCCGTGACGTTGTGATCTGACGTTCCAGATCACCACACTGCGGTTTTCTGAATCCACATCACCGCTCTTTGAAACTGATGAAGTAGTACCAAGAAACATGACGCTATTTTTCTTGTTCGTTAAAATGTCCCCTTTTACTATGTTTTGTTTTGTGGATGAATATTATAAAATTCATCTTGAAAGTTTCTTTTTGCAATATCTAGCTACTTACAAGAGGTGTAATAAATTTACGCTTCGCGTCTCGTTTGATATGATGATCCGCGTCTGCCAAATCGACGTGATACGACCTTTCGGATCAAGTTACTGTTATAATAATATACATTGATTCTCCCTTTAGTGAATATACTTATTTTTGATTTTTTTTATGTCAGGATAGTGCATTTCGATGGGAGCACATCTCCTGATCATAGAAACTGAAGCTGAACAATCATTGATTCAACGCCAAGGTGCTAATTTGTTTTCTCTTTGAAAATTTTGAGTACTGACTTACCGTAAGTTCCTTAGATTGTCATAATTATCTATGTGACAGAGGTAAAAAATGTATCATCTCAATTTTTGTTGCTATTGTTGGTTTTTTAACATAATTGCACACTTTACTTGGTAAAAGGTAGGATTAATTCATCTTTAAAAAACATCTTTCTTTGCGTCAATCTTATGCTACAGCCGTTTGGCTGGTTCCGACTAAAGCTAATAACCACATCCGAATAATTGCTGATGCAAAAGGTGTTACATTCGCTGATGTTAATAGGTAGAACATAAACCAAAATTTAAGTGGGTAGAAAAAGCTTATAAATCTTCTTCAATTCTGCCGAACTTTGATTTTTTTCCACTCAATTTATGTTCTTAATCCAGATCACTGTGATACTGTGGCGCACGTACAGAAAATTATATGTCAGCTGTAAATCAGTCACATGTACATGTAAAACCTTTTAGGTATAAAAAGTTAATATAAAAGTAAATTTGACACATATATGTTGAAGGACAAACATCGAAAGTTTGTGGGAAATGAAAAAATAAATTCCTAATTAATATGTTATTTTTACGGTGCTTTTATTTAACCAGTTCCGAGTAACAACTGTAAACATTCTCGTAAGACTAGGGGTGCTGTGAGCACTTAGCTCATTTAATAATACCCCCGCCTCTATTTGATTATAATGACAAAGTCCATGTTTTGCTGTGTTATAAGTTACATGTTATATTTCGCTTCGTTTAAAAGATATTAGTTTCTAAAAGATATATAGATTTGATTAAAATATGCAAAAATCCATGACGTTTGAGCAGCGAGTAGCAATAAAATTTTACTTTGCATTTGGGAAACATCTTAAACAAACTTTTTAAAAATCGTGCAAAAATGTATGAAGAATAACTCGTGTGTTAGTAAAAAAGGGAAAATGAAATTTTTGAGTGATAGCTAGTTTGAATTAGACTGTCGACGGACGTAGAGACAGACGGGCGAGCAATCCGACAACTGTGTACCTCCCACTTTTCAAGCAGGTTACAATAACAACATGACAGTTTACGCTGTGTTTGTCATCAAATGATCCATTGGATTTATTAGAAATTAACGATAAGTTTTAGCAGTTGCTTACATCCAGAAAGTAAGAAAATAACAGGTTTAATATCTTTTCGAATAGAAAATAAGGGCAAGTCGGTCGCCTGGTTGATGTTTTCATGCAAGTATTCATTTAAGTAGCTTAACTGTCAAAGAGTAATAAATGAAAATTAAATAAGTCTGCACCATAAATTATTTATACAAAGCAGATACATTTACAATTGTCATTTTAAACTGTAGAAAAATTCGCTAGTTTATGTTTGTGCCACGTAAAAACCCCTTGGTTGTCAAAGACTTTTCAGTAGTTGATACTGCCCCAAATAAAAACGTATGGTTGTGCCCCACGCCCATGATTTCATATTTCTGATGTCTTAACATAGGTGTATCACTGCAACATCGTTAAAATTAATAAATGTTCTGCTCATATTGCAATGTTCTCTGACATACATGTTTTCATTTTCTTATAATTTTACTCAGTATCATACACCATCTCTTATTCTCTAAATCATTTTGAAATAAGTGGATGGAGTAATTTGAACGAACTGCTTGAATCAAACTCTGCTTACAGTTCGTCTGCTTCTTAAACCGAAATCCGAATAATCAATTCTTTTTATAGGCAAATTTCTCATGAATGCTGATTGAGCATAAACACTTGCTTTATCAGAATCTATGAGGGAAAACTGCTTGGGTGTTTAAATTCTATCACATCTTCCGGGAAATCATTAATTTTTGTTCACGAAAATTCAAAATCATTGGCCAAAATAAAGCAGATTTCCATTGTGTGCAATTATAATACTTTCTGCAAATGTACAGATTATTTAATACTCTGATCATCAAATATACCAGGTATAATCCCCACTCATTATTTGACGGACTACACCTCAAATAATGCAACAACTATGCTGTAAGCCGGTGAACCCTGTAAGCCAGGCTAGCTTAGTGGGAGCAGCTGGCGTTTATTTTGAAAACAATACATAAATATTGAACATACATTACATTGTATTTGAAACAATAAAGCAGTGCAATTTATTTGAAAATTATATTACGTGTAATAATTTATACCCCTATTACAGACATAAAAATCCGACGGTTAACTATGGAAAACCTGTGTGCGTCGCTATATAAATAATGTCTCAAGGGAGCATGCCGGACGTGCATTCGTTGCAGTACTAAAAAATGCCTGAACATCCTATATTTGCATGTATGAAAAAATCGAAATTAAAATACATTCCAACAGTATTCTTTCCTCTATTACCGGTATATTTATACAAACGGGATAGACATTATGTTTAAAGCCAAAAAAAAAGCACACAACAAAACACGTGTGTGTGTTGAAGAGCACTGGATTAGAATGATTCGAATACCTTACTGAATACCGCTTTCTCATTGGTCTTCCTTTGACCACGCCTACTATACAGGCAAAACCAATAGAATACATTCCTATCATACAAATGAATGTTTTCCCACTCTACTACGAAACGCGGGAACACACTATTATTTTCACTTAACCAATCAAATGCAAAAGCAACTACTCCATGCGTTCTTGTAACCCAAAATCTGAAATTAAACTTGTTCATTTCTTTTTTTTATTTTTATTATTTGCAGACTTATCGAATGTTATCGGTCCCCATTTTTTGTCACACAACTCAAAGATAGAGTCTAAAAATGACCAGTCGCCAAAATCAAAAATTCTTCTACAATAATCTACTTCTATATTTAGAGATATTGGCATCCACCCCGTTCAGTTACAGTGCCGTTATACATACATACTAGCATTTGATAAATATTCATAGCACGATTTTGCAAATCCTTTTTTACCGTTACTCACTTGACATATACGCATGTACCACATTCTGATTGTCAGTATATTTCACCAACTTACCGTTTAGTTGCTATTTTTAAACTCTCCTTATACATTCTAATAATCTTAAAGTCTTTCAATGAGGAACTATAACGTCTTTCTAACTCGGTGAACATATCATGCACAATATCTTATAAATATTCCCGACAAAACCCGCGCTTGCATACATGTATATGCGTACTTACTTTAGAAAATATTATGCGCTCTGGTGTCTTCTATAAAGCATGTAAAACTAAATCTGGTTATGTTTCACAATTTTTCAATCAAAATTTTAATTCTGATCTAACATGTACGTTCATAGATTTTTTTTTAAATGTATACCAATTCATCCCGTGAAAAATTACCAGACACATTTTTGTCGACATCAAATGAAAGATATTTCCTAATGCTGGAATCAGATATATAATCTTACGTAGAATTGATGCAAGATTTTTAAGCTTCAGATCTAAAACTGCATTCATCTTTTTTACGATTGTTTTTCTCTTGTTTGTTGGATAACACCGTATTCTAAAATACACAGTGAACCTAATCAAATCAAAGTCAGTATCGGAAAAAATACTGCTTTTTCTTAATTTGGTAGAAAACCAATCTGCAATAGCTTAGATTGTACATATTCTATCATATAAATGCAGTTTTCTTTTGTATCACACCCCCACACAGTCTAGATGTACAATAACCGGAAAAAATCTAAACTCTCCAATGCCTTACTAACGTACGTACATTTTTTGAGAAAATATTCTTTAGGCATGCAAGGAGAGGAATATAAAAGACATAACATAACCATACTTTCCTTTTACTAATAACTTATTCTGATGGTTTTGATGTATTATTCCCAAAATTGTGAATTATTTTTCGATCTTTTTTTTTTTTTTTTTTTTTTTTTTTTTCACAATTTTAATCTTTATTCATGAATATCTAATTTTAACTTAATCTTACTATATCACAACATCGGCACTCTTAGTTGAACTCCAAAGACATTTTTAATCTGCTTTTAGACATTTTTTAATCTGCTTAATGGAATACAATATTTTGTTCTTACAAGTTATACAGTATACTTATATTCTCAAAATTCTGTGTCTGATGATCTTACTTGATGTATTCTTTTTTTTAAATGTGTTAAATTTGTTTAGTCCGATTAAAATATCTGTGCAACATAACTTCACTGTAATCAATCTTAGTTACCAAAATATACGCGAAGTAAAGTCCAAATTAAGCATAATAGCTTAATTCCTTTACTTCACCTTTTCTTTAAATATATACATGTATTAATCATATTTATAAATCATAAATACACCCTTTCCTAAGTTTGTTTGTGAGGTACACAGGTTAATCCCTTTCTATTCCAACATTTCAGCCTCTGGGGAGAAATGGTGGATTGGAGGAACAGATGTTAATTCTGAGGGTACATTTTACTGGGAAAACCCTAACAACTCGATGAAATTCACAAACTGGTACGCAGGTCAACCTAGCGGGGGTACAAGTGAAAACTGTCTGGAAATGCTCATCTTGGGTGGTTGGAATGACAAATCATGTGATACACCCACTTACTATATTTGTGAAAAATAGACATAAAGAGAGAAAAAATCATATGAAGGATATCAACCAGACATCTTGTGACAATTCAGATAAATGTTTCTTTATTCATTCATGTTTCAGGCAGGCAAAGAAGCTATGAAAACAAATCTGATCTTTTGTAAATATGCATCAATGTCTTTCTTTGATCTTTTAAATTTCTGTTTGATTGTGTGTCAAAAAAATACAGTCTTTGTGAATATCATTTCTTGAAACTACTACATATATACTTTTTTTACGAAAAAATCTGTTGAAAATAAATAAGACCAATAAAGAAATTAATTTACTGAAAAGAACTTGATTCATGCATTGATAAAGGTTTTAAGTTTGCTTTTTGCTGTTACATTGTTCACTTCAATCACTAGTTTAAAAAGCGGACAATAGAAAAACACCTACATCTTACGAAGGAAAGTAACTCGCCCTATCTTCCCCTATCACGATAGTTTTCTCAGGATCAGTGATTGCAGCCATATAAAGTTTAAAATCAGAAGAAATAAGTATTTGTGTAAAATAGAACGGATAGTGTTTCAATTGCTCATGTCAAATTTTTTATAATCACTAACAATGTTTTTAAAAAAGCGACCAAATAGAAGAAAATACACCACTATACTTTATACAGATTAGGAAACACGTTTGTCATGTTTCAGTGATTAAACGTTTACAAACTATTCGCATATAATATATCTTAAATTATGTCAAAAACACAATTCACTTAACTTCCATTTTTGCGCCGATTACTTATGTATCTAGTGCTCAGATATAAACAATAAGGTTTTGAACTGACAATAACATTTCATAATATAGGATCTTTTATAAGCCACATGCGATATATTGGATTCTTGAAAAATGGAAGTTCATGACTCAACGGCTGTAAAACTAACATGCTGCAATATAGTTGGCTATGAATTTTGCAATAGTTATTTATGATGGGCTCTCTCCTTAATGTTTATTTCATTAATATTGACCAGTTTTAATTGGTAAAAACAAAATGAAAAATTATTTCTGATGACTGTAATTCCCAGAATTTTTTACAGAAATATAGAAAAAGAAAACTCTCTGCCCGATGCATATTGGAAGACAATCTTTTTATACAATGCATTCTTAATTACCATATTGATACATATTGATTAATCCATATATTGACACAACCAAGATAAACAAATAGAGAAACCTTTTTTTATGGATGTAATGAAGTACTTTTTTAAATGTCTGCAAAAAAGTTTGTAATGCTAAATACAAGAAGTACGAGTATCATTCATAAAAAAACTGAACTTACACTTATGAAAGCATAATTCACTTCATAAATTTCATCTTCACATACATGATATTTGCAGTTTTGGAGGACTTTGATTTGGATCGTATCCCATAGGTGTCTTTCATAGATTAATTAGCTTTAACCTCCTTTCTTTCTTCTTTAAGTAGAGTATCTAAGCTGCCTTTCCTTTTTTTAGCCTTTTCCTTGGCAAAATTCAGTTCTTGCAGAGCCATTTGTCTTATAGCATCTGGTGAAGTTAAATTGAATGGTATAGAACTTATAAGTTTTTCTAAGGTTTCGTTTTTTTATTGCTTATTATAGGTAATCTTGTCATTTCTTCAAGTGCAGGTGACACACTTTGTTACCACTGTATCTGGAGCAGGGGTACTGCATGGCATATTTCGGCCATTTTTAGCTCACCTGAGCCGAAGGCTCAAGTGAGCTTTTCTGATCCCATTTTGTCCATCCGTCTGTCTGTTTTTCCGTCCGTCCGTCTGTAAATTTTTCACATTTCCGACTTCTTCTCAGGAACCAATGGACCAATTTTATCCAAACTTGGTACAAAGCATCCTTAGGTAATGGGAAATTTAAATTCTTTAAATGAAGGGTCAAGTTTCTTTACAAGGGGAGATAATCAAGAATAGACAAAAATAGGGTGGGGTCACTAAAAAATCTTCTTCTCAAGAACCACCATGCCAGGAAATCTGAAACTTATGTGGAAGCATCCATTGGTTGTGTAGATATTAAATTGTTAAGATCATGACCCCGGGGATAGGGCGAGGCCACAATAGGGAATCTAAGTTTTACATAGAAATATATAGAACAAATCTTTACAAATCTTCTTCTCAAGAACCACTGGGCCAGGAAAGCTGAAACTTATTTGGAAGCATCCTTGGGTAGTGTAGATATTAAATTGTTAAAATCATGACAACCGGGGGTAGGTGGGCCACAATAGGGAATCTAAGATTTACATAGAAACATATGGAACAAATCTTTAAAAATCTTCTTCTCAAGAACAACTTGGCCAGGAAAGCTAAAAGTTATATGGGAGCATGGGTAGTTTAGATATTAAATTCTTAAAACCATAAAATAGAAGGGGGTAGTGGGGCATGACGGGTATAGCAAGAGGGGGAATCTGGTAAGAACTGCATCACCCGAGTAACTCAGGTTAGCGATGTGGCCTATGGGCCTCTTGTTATATTTTCTTTGTTTCTATATCTTGTAAACTTATGGTTGCACATGCTAACAAATCCAGTCCTGAGGAAGGCAATGAAATATCAACAATGTGTTGCTCATCAGTCTCTTGGAATGTAGTGTGTGATACTTGTTGAAAAGTTCTTTGATTTGTTCTACTTATGGTAGGGGAATGAGCCTTTTCTTTCAGTTTTTTATATACTGTGAAGCCAGGGGATAGTCCTTCCACATCCCATCCTTCTTCTAGTCGCTGTTCATACGTTTTTCTTGCTGGTGTACCTATAGAAACACTGTATAGATGGAAAGCCTCAGTAGCTGCTTTTGTTTCCACTTCATCATCTCTGGTTACAGTCTTATCTGTTTCGGGACCTTCTTCCTTGTCAATGAAAGTATACGATGGCTTTAGACTCTCATTTAAAATAGCAGAACGCCTCACAGGATAGATAACAGAATCATTGAATGCTCAAATTACAATGCTTGGTTTATAAATTGCAACATAAATTTCATGCAAATTTGAAGCAAAGCTTTTATTTGTCAAAAGGCTTGCCAGGATTTAATCTCGTGTTTTTCGCACTGTATCATACCATTCTTTTTTCAGAGGACCAAATACTCCTTTGTCCAGGGGCTGCATGAGATGAGTAGCATTTGGTACTAGCTAGTCTGTTAATTTCAATTCCCCTTCTGCTTTTGTAAATATGTCCATGTGAATATGTGAACTTACACTGTCAATCCAAAGAACAACTGGTCTAAGATTCTTGCTTACAATCATCCTTTGGTGAAGGGGTTTCAAGTTTGTTCAAATGAAGGGCAACGCCCTCATTCAAGGGGAGAAAATTGGGAAGTATTGAAAAATTTGGTGGAATATGTTAAAAATCTTCTTCTCAAGAACCATTAAGCCAGAAAAGATGAAACTTATGGGGAAACATCCTCAGGTAGTGTAAATTCAAGTTTGTGCAAATCATGACCCCCGGGGGTAGGGCGCATACATGTCCAAGAATGAATTCGATGTCGATATCGACGATATCGACAATATTATGTCGATATCGTATCGATATCGATCGTGATGAGCACTATTAATTGGAAATATCTTGTGCCATATTTGAGACTCTATATTATGTCGATGTCGTCGATATCAACAATATCATGACGATATCGTATCGATATCGATCCTATTTGCACAATTTATTTTCATAATGAGGTATAACATAATTTTTCAAAGTCACAAGTGAATCAAAATTGATTCATAATTGCCATGAATATGAAAATAAATTATGATTAAGACAGTATTAGGGTTGTTATTGTTTTAGATTAGATTTAGAGTAACATATTGGGTTAGGGTGAAATTCTTGAAAATGTTTTGACAATCTTGATTCGATATCGATACGATATCGTCGATATCGACGATATCGACAGTAAGGTAAACTTATTAAACACAGAAGTGATGTAAAAATAAAGTTTTTGCATTATGGTGAAGGTTGGTAAAGTAATATGCTTTTAACAATCATGATTCGATATCGATACGATATCGTCGATATCGACGATATCGATGGCAGGTAAAATCTTCGTAAAAGTAAAGTAATTAAACATAAACACATTCAAAGTAACAGGGAAGGTATTTACCAAGGGCTTTACAAACATGATTCGATATCGAAACGATGTCGTCGATATCGACGATATCGACACTTCAGGGAAAGATTTATAAAAAAAGTTTAAGTAAAAGTTGTAAAACACACAATATTAAGGATGAAAACCACAATTCTTGGAACAATCATGATTTGATATCGGCACGATATCGAGGATATCAACAGTAAGGAAATAGTCTTAAAACAAGAAGTATTGTAATGAACACACGAGAATAGAGAAATATTATAGAAAACTATAAAAAAGTAATGTGTCGATATCGTAACTACATCGTGTCTTGGACATAACTCGTAGGGCGGGGCCAAAATGGCCGACCAAAGTTGTACAAAGAAATATATAAGAAAATTCTTTAAAAATCTTCTTCTCAAAAATGACAAAGTCATAATCCATCATATTTATATGGGAGCATGCTCAGGTAGTGTAGATTCAAGTTTGTTCAAATCATAACCCCCGGTGGTAGGGCGGGGACAAAATGGCCGACCAAAGTTTAACATAGAAATATATAAAATAAATTCTTTAAAAATCTTCTCAAGAATGACAAAGCCATAATTCATCATATTTATATGAAAGCATGTTCAGGTGGTGTAGATTCAAGTTTTTTCAAATCATGACCCCCCCCCCCGGGGGGGGGGGGGGGGGGTAGGGTAGGGCGGGGCCAAAATGGCCGACCAAACTTTTACATAGAAATATATAAGAAAATTCTTTAAAAATTTTCTTCTCAAGAATGACAAAGCCATAATTCATCATATTTATATGGAAGCATGCTCAAGTAGTGTAGATTCAAATTTGTGCAATTCGTGACCCCCGGGGGTAGGACGGGGCCAAAATAGCCGACCAAAGTTTTTGAAGATATATATAGGAAAATTCTTTGAAAATCGTTTTCTAAAAAATAGCAAATCCATGATTGGTCATGGGACTGTTGGATTTAAACTTTACAATAAAAAGCCATTTTCTACTTTTTCTACCCTTAGTGCTCAGATGAGCGATGTGGCCATTGGACCTCTTGTTTGTGTAATGTATAGCTGAACCTCTTGTGGCTCCTAATAAAGAATCAAATGCAGTAGGCTGGGGTTTTTGATACACAAAATACGGTGGTAGAAGAACTCCTTCAGCATTACCAAAGTACATCACAGTCATACGTTGTTTTGTAGATCCTCCTGACAAGTGCGGAATGCCCTCTGTAAATCTTTGCCTTGTTGGTCCTACAACAACTCCAGCCTTACTCCCTATCTGTAAAACCTGTCTCAACTGCATTATAAATCCTGTGTGGTCTATCCAGCATGTTTCTTTATGAAAGAATTGTTCTGTTCTTTAAAAACCAATCAACTACAACTTCTTTGGTGACTTTCAAGCGAGAGGCCTCAAGCAGTATTTCTTTTCTTTTTTTCTAATTTGTCCGAGTGTCTCGCAATAAATGCATAGTACCATAAACAGCTTGGCCTGCTATCCTTAAATGGATTTCTTAGCTTGTCTTATTTTAGGAATTTTTTGACCAGATCTAATACATGTGCATATGAGATGTCCCCAATCACATTCCCCTTTGTGCCATTTCACGCAAATAATTGGCAATCGAATTTTCTTAGACGACTGATAAAAAAGGAGATGGTCTATTTCTACTTCTATATAGACTTCACCAGTCACCCTCCTATGGAGATAATAGAAGGATAATTTGTACTTTTCCGCAGAATTATTAATACTTTTCCCCGACTGTACCTAAAAAAGAGCCCTCTTTGTTCTGGATCCTTTTGATGCGGATTTAGGGAATACTCTGCTTATTTTTCCTTAACTTTAGATGATGTTACAAAAAAGTTGGCTATGTGTTTTGGCAACTATTTTCTTACATTTTCCCATTACTGACATCTCCTAAAATATATTAAAATATAATGCTTGCAAAAGCATGGAATCGCAATAAAAATAAAATTTTAATTTAAAAAAGGAAGAAAAAAATGAAAGCATTTAGAGTTAATATTGAAAGGTTAAAAAACATACCCCCCCCCCCCCACATAATTTTAACTTCAATTTTAAAGGCAAAATTTAAAGGGTGAACATGTTATACTGTTAAATATGCAGCATTTTCATTTCATATTCATTAATCTTTAGCAGTTAGGCTGACTGAAAATGAAATTTCCAACTAGGCGACTCTTTGCCCATGTATTACCCATATGAAAAAGTACTATTAGAATTCAATCGGAGTATTCAGTTGACTACTAGTAGACGGTCAACTGACAGTCAATTGATCATTAGTTGAATTTTTGCCATGCAAATGAGGGAGCGATCAACTCATTTGCATAGAGTTGACCACTGTTGAATGCTCCACTATTTCCTTTGCAGTAGACCGCTAGTTGAATAATCCACTATTTCCTTTACAGTTGACCGTTAGTTGATTACTCCTCTATTTCATTTGCAGTTGACCGCTAGTTGAACACTCCATTATTTCCTTTGCAGTTGACCGCATGTTGAATACTCCATTGGTCAGTGCACGTAGGATCGATGCATTCATTAAATATTTGGAAAAAAATAATGGAGGGGTATTTGAAATCTAAGACAGGCAGTGTTCATGAAAATATGAAAAGTCAAAACAATGGAATTTCTAAATTGACATAAATGAACTTGTAAATCTAAATGCAGTGTAAATGAGCTGGCACACTAGCTCTCATAAGTTGTTACAGGCCTTCTCCATTTTCTGTACAGAAAAGGTTATATACAGAATTAGTCTAAAGCAATGGTATATTTTTACCAACACAACAAGAAAAACAACAAAACACTTGATGCACTTGAAAACACAAAACAAGTTTCCAGAATTCTTTCAATATTTAAAAAAGTACACAAAAATAAGGACCTATGAGTACTGGCTACAGTTTTTTGTATTCCTATTATGTGTTTAAAAATAATTGTCAAAATGACAGCATTAATAAAATCATGTACTACGTAAGTTTTATTGTTTCATTTCCCACAATCTTTTGAGGTTGTTCATAGATGTTTTATACTTACTTCTGATTCCTCAAATGTCTTTTTGACATTTAAATGGTTTACAACTAAATTGTCTTTCTTTGTGTCAAAGTGTCGAAGTGATCCGGATTCGTTGCATTGTAATAGTAGGACGACTATATTCAAGTTCGATACAGAAATCGACTGGTAAAAATCAAAAACTTTGCAAGATTCGGTAGAGCATTACTAAGCTTTTTTTTATCAAGATTAACAATATATTTTCGAAATATATATTTATTAATTAACACCTGTCATATCAGCGAATTATTCGGAACTGGCCAAACTCCATCCGGAACTGGCTAAACGACCAGAGTCTGAAAGTTGAAATTGAATTTTTTTCAATATTTTATATAGAGCACAACTTTTGATTCAGAATATGAAATTACATAATGAAAGATCTGTTTCTGACGATCATAAAGTATTTTTTTTTACTTTTTTGGATCGTAGACTGTGCTCATATTTGCGTGGACCCTGAGGTCCACGCAGTAAATATATAAGCGAGTTTAAACTGGATGCCATGGGCGCACCTTCGGTAAATTGCCCGTAGAATAATTCGCCCGATTCTAATTGCGCTTTTATATCCGCATAACGCATTTACATATTCATTGGCGGATCGGAAATGCTCTTGTACATATACTTTTATATACAGACTAAACATTGATTCTATGGTACAAGCATTTTAAAAATTAGGAAGAACTTAAAGATACATGGACATGTAACTTAACTTGAATGAAAAACCTCATTCAATAACTAGTTCTAGCTTTTAAAAGATAGAACAAATTTTCACCGGCATTATTTTTGTGCGTCAAGGCTCGGAAAATAATTTAATATTTCAGTGATCCAAATACCGTTTGACAGAGGTCTGTAGCAACGGCTTTCAATGGGGGGGGGGGGCTCCGACCAAAAAAAAATAATATGTGTTCCACAGAGGTGTGCTACACGTGAACCATAATATCTTTTTCCCATGATTAATTTCTTTTGAATAAACTCAGAACAGGTGTTGTTAAGTCCCAGCAATTATTGGTTACATGTATCAAAATAACCCGATTTTTTTAACTGACAAAACTATAAAGGCCGCTAATCGGAGATAACATTTAACAATTTTGACAGTCACAAGTAGGCAGATCATTGAAGAAAATGTGAACAAGCCTACATGAATATTCACTACAACTAGAGTTTTTTTAAATTGAATTTTGGTTAAAAAAACATGCATATGGTCCACATATTGCAGTCCTTTTTTAAGGGACAGCAACTTGTTTAATTCTTTGTTGAGATGGTCAAATACGCGTGTTTTCTAAAAACTTAGAGAACTTTGCATTTTTTCAATGCTTTTTTTCAATACGTGGATTCTCAAAAAGAAATGTAATAAGAAATAAAAGCATTAAGTCTCTACATTTTTGATTATGACACGGGAACGAAAAGGATTGGTAAATAATCGATATTAGTACATGGCCAGTTTATGCACAAAGCGAACCTAACTCTTTGTTATAGCAAATTTTTAATTTTGTTACAACGAAAACAATTCCTTTGAACGTCTTAACAGGTTTTAAAATATGTTCAAAAAATTCAACAAATATATTTACGGAATAAACGGAAGTACATTTTCGACTTTTCAAATACACTTGAGAATTCAATGTAAAAAAATGTCGAATAAATTAAAAGAATAACATTGTTATGATAAAATGTCTTTAAATTCGTTATAATGAATTTAATCTCTTTTATGACATTATGAAGAATTTGTAATAACGAACTAAATCCGTTAAAAGGAATTCTTAAACTTTTTATAACGATTTATAATTGTTAAGGAGAATAACTGTACATTCACAATATGTTGTCGTAAAAATTAAATGGGGGAAAAAAATTAAAAAATAAAAGAAAAAAAAAAGAAAACTGTATATTCCGAAACTTGAATAATCCAACACACTCTGAATTCCGCCATTAAATTTCAATCCCATTTTAGTATGTTCCTTGTTTTTAGCATTGTTCGTCACTCTGTCTATTGCGACATAAAATTAGTCTCCTAGTGTATGTCGGATAAGACAGGTTTCACTTTAATAATAATAAATAAAATAATGATAATTGGCTCATTTTTGCAACTTAATTCAACGCCTACAAGCTTTTTTTAAATTTGCAACATTTATGTTCACTCTTTTCGTATCCAAAAATATTAAGCCACGGAGAAAAACAATGAATTTAAAACGTTTTTAAAAAGATTTTAATTGAAGTAGAATGGCAAAAAGATATAAAATCTTCCAGTTCATGACACTGCTTCCATTATTGATGTCATTCATGAATCTATAAAATAAGAGTGAAATGAGTAACCTTTATGCTGGGGATAGAAATATTATAATACATAAACATATTTGTTTGTTCAATTTATTTTCCCTGTGGATAAATGTTATGGTTTGCTAACTTTGGTTATTAATCAAACAAAACCAGATATAAAAGGAAAATACAATTCATCAATTCATTGAACAGTATCCAATTCGGAAGTTTAATAAAGGAAATCTTTGTATTGAATCTGACTATTATTCAATTTATTGGAAATGAACTTTGGTCAATATTTCAAAAAGCAATTTAACCTTAATTCAGTTTCCTGATCAGAATTTATTCCAATCTTTTCCTGATCTGTTTGATTTCCATATTGCTGCAGAAATCGTTGTTTCAACTTTTTTGTCGTTTTAATTTCATTATATTTATTATTAATTTTGATGATTACATTGGCTGTTGTCTGCTCTGCTTCTTGTTTCTGTTCCTGATTTGTTTGGTTTACAAGCTGTTGCAGAATTCTTCGGTTTTGTCTGTATACCTCTAAGTAACATTCTTGGTCTATGAAAATATACTTGTTATTTTGCATGATAAAATCTTTATAAAAATACATTGTAAGAAATATATATCAATACATTTTCTTTGTGCTAACACTCTTTAATTTTAAGTAAGATTGAACTGAAAACCATTGTGTCATTCTTTTAATATTCACAAGAAAATCAGATGTATAATATTATTCAGATTCATCGTAAAAAATGATATACGCATATACGAGGGTTGTTTGAAAAGTTCGTGGATTTCTGTCATGTCTTTTTTTTTTTGACGTCATATGTTATCCAAAGTTGGTAGAAATATTTCATCAATTAATTTAGATTTTTGGTATTAATTTTTTTTTATCAAAATTTATTCAAAAGTTATCCAGACTTTTTCAAAATGCATAAATTGGGTCGCAGAGCAGGTCAAATTTTAGTAAGTTACATAAAATACACTAAATAATGTCTGAAATCATAATCTCTGTAAAATGGAGCAAAAACGAAAAACAACCTAGAAATTTAAATTAAGAATTGTTACTTCGATTCTTATTCTAAACCATGGCTTAATATTTTTTCTTCGTTGAAAAGAAATCAGCTTGAGAAGATAGTTGGTCCTCTCTGAAAATGATGAAAACGACGACGTTTTAGAACATCAAGTAGCAGCAGGTGACGATTCAATTTTGTGTTTTACTCAAGAAATATTCTGAAAAAACATCGTTCTCTGTTTTAAAGCAAAGCCATTACACATTTTTTTCAAACAAGATTGAGTTAGAAGGGAAACTCCTCTCACAGATATCCACTCATGATTTCAAAAAAATTCCTCGTTAATTACCTGCACAAGGCTCTTTTATACAAATATTATTATTTCAACATCTATCTACTGATATAAAATAAGTAAATGTCAAATGTATATTTTCGTACATACATCTTTTTACTAACTTTTCTGACTTTTACTCAAGTGAGTTGAGGCCAAATATGGGCTTTTCTATGCAAATGAGCTAATAAAAATGTATGAATTGTATATGTTATGTACAGAGAATGTTCAAATTGATTTTCTTATACACACCTAGTACTAACAATTTATTATTGCATTTTATGACGTGATAATTCTTTCCCATTCAAGGTAATAAAACACATCAACAAAACAACGTCAGCGCAAGGTCATATCATGTTTAATTAAAAATGATTCATGCATAATATTAAGGAGAATATTCTTAAGATTAAAAAAAAATTGCTGTACAAATCCTTTGCTCTTCTTCAATCGATAAAAATTTTAGGAAACTTACACTGGACAGTGTATTTTTACCCTGTTTCAACTTAGAGCTGTACGAATATTAACTAGACAATTGCAGTGCCGACATTCGTGCAGCAATATCTTAAATCCTTGAAATATTCTGCGTCTCTTAATACCTTGTTCCTGTAAAATAAGTAAGGTTTGCTCTTGCGCTGAAGCGCTTTTGTTGATGTTTCTTATAAACTCGATTATTAAAGGTATTAAAGAATAATGTAAACTGGCTTTTGCATATCGTCGGTACCAAGAATGTATTAAAAAACAAGTCTTAACATTTTCTTTGCGGTATGTATGTGCAATTATGGGTTTTAATTAAAACTTTCGCATACAAACCTCCAAACGTAGCCTTAAAGTTACAATACGACGCATCTCTTCAAAAAGATACTTGTTAAAATTTTCATATCGGATTTGGAATTTTTTTTCATACTCATAAATGTATACACCCTTCAGAAATTTACAAATTTCTTAAGTAAATAATTCTGATTATTTCATTAAAATTAATAATTATTTATGACCAATAAATACATACATCAAAATGTGTTCGAAGTTCCACATTCCTTGCTATACATGCATGCGTGAAATTTTCATAAACAAACAGCATGGTGACAGAGGGAAGCCCGGTAGACCATCTACACTGACAAAGTCGACCAAAACGAAAAACAAGACCAAAAATAGGGCTGGAAAATAAGCAACTCTCCTGACAAAAATTTAGCTGGGAGATTAATATAATAATTGGATGAAGAAGATAGGGATCTCGGATACATTCACGTGGGGCTCGCGAAGGTTCTACCCTACAGGTTTGCTGATACATGCTGTCATTTTTCGTATCTCCATGGCTTTCAAAGAAATAAAAATCAGTGTAAACTCAACGTAAAAATACAATTATGACATATCAGAATGAAATCGCCATTTGAAGTGCAAATTGTATTGGAACTGCAGAGGGATATTTTGTTTGACATTTTGCCGCGATGACGTATGGTTTGGTGGAATATCCTTTCCTGCAACCCAATACACAAAACGTCAACATTTGTACTTAATCATGTTAAGTGCGTCTAAACATGCTAAATACAGACTACGTTACCATACGTAACGTACATTTCAAATATAAAAATCAATTATCTTCCACAAGCGTACGTTACATACGCAATATAATGATACTATTTGAAGATGCATATCATATATTATATATAAGAAGTTCATCATACAGGTTTTGATTTCGTATTCAGTAATATATATCAGGTATCCAAATTATATTTCATATAAATGACCTTAATATAATTTTTTCCTCAGCAGAAACCTTTCTTTTCATTAATATTTGGGATTTAGCCGACGTCCAACCTTTGAAACTTTCCTTTGTGTACATATTCGAGTGTGTGAAAGTATGAGAATCCATGATTCACTTTATTCGAATTTCATGGTAACGTACATTTCAAATAACCACTTTTCATGTAAAAAATAATTTTTAATTGTGTTAATCAAAACGTCTTTGCCAGTTTACAAGAAGTTGCTTACTCAGAGTCATCTCATTTTTTCTACTTAATATATTTTCTTAATTTTCTATCACAAAGAAAATGTATTTATCGTTATAAAAAGAAATATATATGATAAAAGGTTTAACTTATCAGAAAATTTTTACTCGAGAATCAAAACTGCAAATTACACAGAGGGGATTCAGCATAATATTTGACACGGCGACAGTAACGTACATTTCAAATACGCTACTATAGTTGAATTTGGAACTCCATAAATACCCTTTCAGATCGATAATTATACGAATTTTTATTTATTGTTATATGACTATTTATAATGTTGATTTGAAAATTACATCAGTGGTATGTCTTCTCAATGAAAATGAGGAGACATTATTTTGACCCCTTATATTGAGAATTGGTGGCCGTCGCGCTACCACACTCCGTCGACCCGTCACACTGTGGCGCTGTTGCAGTGACGTAGCATCGTTAAATGCCAACTTTTGTCAGAGTCAACTTCATTTACAGTACTGATTTTTTCCCATACAAAACTATTCAATTCACCTTGCTCACCTCAAGTGGAAATGAGTCATCGTTCATAGCCAATCGCATCATCTCGGGTCTTTCCGTTGGAGGTCGGAAAAACAACCTCGAATGTATTAACATCGCTGGATGTTAAAAATTTATACATTTCCTGCTTAGTAAAATGTAGGATAGACGGAGTTAGAAGTCCTTTCTATAGTTTTTATTTTAGGTAATATCATTACATTGAATAAAGTTAAACCCCATATTCCACAGACAAAAGGTCTCCATGCATTTATTTCAAAGATCATGAAAAAGAAGGGTTGTCATGGCGTCTACCATATACATTCGAGGTCGTTTTTCCGCTAGTCGGAAAGGCAATCCCCGGCTAAGCTCCATTCACACCTCGGATGTGATTAGTGGAGGAATACGCATCAGACCCTTACATTTCTCTACCAGAAACTCCCTTATCATTCATTTTATATTTTGCTCTGCATAACATTCTTCGAAAATGTGCAATTATTTATCGTAAACAGGTTTTGATTAACCTCATGGTACCGTGTATAAGGCTTTTAAAGCAAGAAAAAACTGTTCAAGAGTGTGCCACAAAATAATTTCGATTTCAAATGTATGATATTTGAAAGGAATTCAAATAAGATCACATGCATGACTGAATCAGCAAGATGGTAGATTAAGGTTGACGTCCAACGTTAAGTGCGAGTCATCCGAGGAATTCCGAATGCTTCGAGGATTGTCCAAAAAATCCGTGGACAATGACGTTTTTGTCAAAATAAAGGGTTCTAAATGCATCTATTGTATAACAAAATATTTCTTATGAAAAACTAAGTCAGAATGGTTTTAGTAAAAATGAGGGTCTTTAAAGATCGCAGATTGTTCGCACGGACCAGTCTGACGTTAAGCTTATTTCATTATAACGTCAAATATTTGGATTTTGACTTAACACATGTTCAGGGACACACACTTCACTTCTTTTTTAAGGCGCAACGCACTTCCAAATGTTAGCAATACTATATATATAGGCCCCGATTTTCACATAAATATTACGTTCTATCAATAAAAATTAAAACATTCTGATTTGTTTTTTATAAGAAATATTTTGATATACAAAAGATTTTTATAGAACCATTTATTTTCACAAAAACGTCTTTGTCCACAAACGTTTTGGACAACCCTCGTAAAGGCTTACAAGGCTAGCCTGGTCCCCTGGCTCATCCTTGCCAAGGCAGGAGAGCCCTAGCACATGCCTAGTGACGCGGAGTATACGAAGCAAAACATGGACAGGAAACCAGGCTAATGCGTATATTAAGCCTTTAAACTGCCGCTAGGGTTCGCTGTTATGGACGATAACTCGTTGCTGAAACTTGTTTAGAGCAGGTCTGAGGTATTGAACTGTTTATAGAAAAGTCAGTTTAAGCATTTCCCAAGTGTTTCTCTGCTGTCAGTAGAATCCAGTGGTTGTAAAATTTAGCACTTATGTTAAACTTATTTACTATATAGTTGCAGACAATTTGACCCTCTGACTGATATTGGTGTCACGGACTGATACAGGATGTGATATGGAAAAGGGTAGGTATTATTCTCTCTGTATTGTGGTTCCGGAGAAGGAAATTTTTAAAGATTTTTCATATACATTCCTATGTAAACCTGTGATTGGCCATTGTGGTCCCCCCTACCCTTGAGGGTTATGATTTGAATTAATTTGAAAGTACACTTCATGTGGATGTTTCAACATGAGTTTCATCTTTCCTGGCCCAGTGGTTTTGGAGAAGAAGATTTTTAAATGTTGCCATTAATTTTTCAATGAATTCATAATTATCTTCGCTGGGAAGACAACTTGGCCCTTCATTTGAATCCCCTCCACCCAAGTTTGGTTGAAATTGGCCCAGTGGTTCTTGAGAGGAAGATAAAATGCGAAAAGTTTTGGACGACAACAACGACGACAGACAACGGACACATTTTGATCAGAAAAGTTCAATTGAGCCTTTGGCTCAGGTGAGCTAAAAGCACTTTAATAATTTGTAGTTTTTAAATCATATGCGGAAGATCTAGAGGCAGCTCATTGAAAAAGGTTGTACTGATTGACACATCTATATAATAGAACATTTTCTTTGAAAACAGTCATTGAGTAATATGCAATACTATTAGCTGCTCAAAATAGCAACATATTGATTCTAATACTTCCTTGAATTTGCTGCTACATCAATAAACAATTGTCTTCCAATAATACAATAATGGATTATGTATAAGGAAATATGATAATTGTATAAAAAAAATATGAATTACAATAAATTGATTTTAGGAGAATCGTATGGAAACACATTCTTGCTATGGCGCCATTCGATCTGCCTGTTTATAAAACGTTAAATGTTTGTTTCCATATATAATCTCAAAGCAAAAATGAAACTACTATTCAGAATCTGAGATTAATATAACATGTCTTTCCAACGGAAAGTACATTGTGATCTCATAAATATGTGGTTTTGTCAGAAAGTTCGAAAATTATTTCTATATTAGCAAAACAGACCTTGACCTTAGAGTTTGACCCACTTTTACTGAAAATTTTAAACTTTTACTTTGGCCATATCTTTTGAACAGTAGACACCAGGACATTTATACTTCACATGTGTATTCTTTGTTGAAAGATCTTTCATTAGATACCAACAACCTTGACCCTTTGACCTTCACCTTGTACATTTACGTTCCTGTAAAAAAAACCTTTAACCTTGGCCATAACTTTAAAGCGGTAAGTGATAGGGCTTTCATACTTCATATATGTAATTCTTGTGAGAAAACTTTTCATTGGATACCTTTCACTGGATACAAACAATCTTGACCCTTTGACCATCACCTTTTAGATTTCCATTCCTGTAAAAAACTTTAACCTTGGCCATAACTATTGAACGGTAAGGGATAGGGCTTTCATACTTCATCTATGTAATTCTTGTGAGAAGACATTTCATTGGATACCAAGCACTACCTTTGACCTTGACCTTTGAGTTTGACCAACTTTAAAAAAGCTAACCTTAACCATAACCTTTAAAGTGTTAAGGCTAGTGCTTTCATACTTTACATATTTAATTCTTGTGACAAGACCTTTCATTTGCTAACAAGACCTTTGACCCTTTGAACTTGACCTTGGAGTTTGACCTAATTTAAAAAAATAACCTTGGCAATAACTTCTGAACAGTTAGGGATAAGGCTTCCATACTCTACATAAGTATTCTATGTGGCAAGACCTTTCATTGGATACCAATTACCTTGACATTTTGACCTTGTCGATTTTTGTACTTATTTGAAAACTTTTACATTGGCCTACTTTCAAATTTTACAATTGTTTTCCGGTGAGAATACCCTACTTTTTAATTAAATTGGCATTTAAGAAAAGATTAATCTTTGCTATGTTGCCATGCGGGGGCATCAGTGTTTCACAAACACATCTTGTTTTTAATAGATCAATTGGGATAATGATAGATTTTAAATATACATGTATATATTCGAATTTTGTAATTTAAAAAAAAATATTTGTTACACTAATCGAATTTCAATAAATTTGAAAAAATCCAAATAAATAGATATAAAATATCCGATGGTTTGTAGTTGGATATGATTTTTATCCAACGTGGTTGTGAGGGGATAGAAACACACAACGAGTTGGATAAAAATCATATCCAACGACAGATCATGTCATTCTTTTTATATCATGTTTCATACTTCACAACCGATGTTTTACACTGTTTTCATATGGGATTCCGCTATATTTTACTTCATCACGCTACCGCAAAAACTATTGTGACGTCATAACTGCACTTAAGTGTGGGATATGAAAACGATATCACATGAGCTATCCAGCAGGAAATTCCTCTATTTTCCTTTTTTTTAAAATGACACAAACTTACCACCATACTCTTCAAATCCATTTCCTCTATTAATCAGTACAAAATCATTCATGTGGAATTTGTTAATAAGAAAGACAGTCACCTCAACTATTACCCCATGATGATCAGGCTTTTATTACTATTTGTCGTTATCTGTATTCAGTCAGCCAGGAGTCAAGACGGTCGGTGTGACGGGTTCGTATTTCAGAATTTAAGTGGTTTAATTAGATGAATTTGATTTACCATGGTGATCACTATGGAAACTTTGATTTACTTTCGAAAAACTTTGATAGATTTTGGTGATGCCTTTTAATTTGATTTACGATTGTGATAACTTTGCCACTTTAATTTACTATTAAATTGATATACTAAAAAATTGTTTTCGATTGAATTTGGGAAATATATGGATATTGTCAAAATATATAATTTGCAAAACATAATTTTTAATATGATTTTATTTTATTTTCAAGTCCGTTGAAGTGCTGTCGAGGATTTGTATACATCGAAGAAGGAAATATCTGTTTGCGTAAGTGCACGTTCCTGAATTTAAAAAAAAATACATATAGAAAGCTATTTTTTTTTAAATGTCAATAGGCAATTGTTTTCTGTCTTAAGCTTGCACGTATCCATCATTTGGATTAGCATGCAGAGAAAACTGTACTTGTCCTGAAGAGAACTGCGACCGTTTTAAGGGATGTTATACATTGAAAACTGCAAAAGGTAATAAAAAGGAAACAATTAAATGAAATAAATTAGATTCCTCTATGCTTAATTTAAATGATGTCATTTATTACAAACATTATAATATAAAGCATAAGCATTGTTCAGGGTTATTATAGAGGACATATTTAGAAATGGAAATATAAACATGTATATAACAAAGGTACGGGGTTCATACCCCATCCTCGACTGACCTACACTGTAAGTAAGTCAGGAAAACTTGGTAGCAACTGTTCCTTTATCTCGTTCTTAGTACTTTGTAGTGAACGTTTGCTGGACTATCAAATGAGTTCTTAAAACCGAGGTTCCGTGTCAAAGCAAGCGTTGCAGATGTTCCATGGACAATTTTAAGTGATTCTTCCGAGTGCATAGTATTGATCTAAAGAAGCCCTTTACTGATATATTGTGACGTTTCTATTTTACTGAAAACATCTCGCATGGGACTTAAAGCAACACGCGTGTACAATCTTCTAATCGAAACTTGAAATAAATTAAATCAGTATAATTAAAAGCAGCCGTAGTCTGCTCCGAAAGCTACTCACATGCTCTAAAAAATCCACAAAGAAATAAAAGATATTATGTCTTTTTTCAGAGTCAAGGCTTAAGTGTTTAACTGATTAACAAACCTACAAAGAAATCAAGGGAATATGAACCTGCATAAATCGAGAACTTCTTGAAACTGGCATTATTTTAATAAAGCTATTTTATTATCATATATATGTAACCTAAATTAATGTTAGATAATATCCTTTAACCCACTCTGTAAATTAGGTTTCGTCCAATCGAAGGACAATCACGTGATAAATGCTTAGTATGTGTACTGAAAGTATAGGTCATTTATAAATTCCAATATCTAAAGGGCAAACCATACTTAAAATTAAAATCTGATACAAACTAACTAAACATAAAACTATGTACTAGATTAATAATTTATTATTTGAAATAAAATGAAATCATGTTGGCTAGATACTAGGGTTGTCAACGAGTACCCGGTTACCCGGATACTCGGTCTAACTTCCACTTATTGAATACTAAATTCGGTACTCGGTCACTCGGATGTATATTTTTGAATATTTCTAAGCTTATCTATTAAATAATAATGCATTAAACAATCTGTTTTAAAACGTATAATACTCATTGCACCTTACATACAGTAATTAGGGTTTCCTACTCTTCTAAATGACCGTTATCTCCCGTGGCAGTGTTTATACAGTAATCATCGTGACCAAGCACCTGTTACATGTACCTGACTCTTCTCACCTTCAGCTGTCTTCTACCCTTATTTTTTGAATTTCTTTAATTATTTGTTTTCACTGAACATCGTTTAAGGTCTGTTATGATTAAATAAATAAGATAATTTTGTCAATTCTCCGAGAAGCCGTAAATTTTCGGGAAAATAACAGAAGATATTACATGCGCGACTGTTGATATGGTTGTGTTTACTTACATGCCAATACATGTACAAATAGTTAAAGGCAACGGCTTAAACAAAATGATGTCCATCGTTGCACCATAAAAGATACTATTCTGCTATAAAATCAAGGATCGAAAAGTATACAAAAATCGTAAATCGGCTCTGTTAGAACTTGATCAAGTTCAAGACAAACTGTACGATTGATACCTGGACGTCAAACGCAACAAAGAGTACGTTACATTAGTTTTTTACAATTACGGAGTAGATTATTAATTTAACAAAAACACCATGAACCACTTACGATTTTATTTTTTGTGTTTATCTGATAAATTAATTGAACATTACATGCTTAAAAAATGTAATAAATTTCGTCGGGCACGAAGTTCTCATCATTGTTACAACAGAAATGCATTTACGTGTAAACCTCCTATCAGAGCATGAGGTTTTATTTCTACAAGTGTTTACAATGTTTTACATTCATCAATTTACTTGTTCATATTTATTAACACTTTTACCGAGTACCCAGGTACTCGATCGGAAAAACGTCCGAGTAATCGAGTATTAAAAACTGACCGATTTGACATCCCTACTAGATACCCATTTAGGTAAAAATTATTTGTATGTTAATAACGAAAACGTTGTGCTTAAGATTGTTTTAGAATGTTTTTCAAAAGCAAGGCACGTTTTTTTAATAATTGCAATTGTTCAACTAAGGACAACATATTTAACACTATCCTGTTTCAAATATTCTTTTTCCTTTATTCAATTACTTCCTTGTTCTTCAAAAATAGAAAGTTCACATTTTAATGTGTTTCATTTCATGTATGTTTTTTTTTTTGTCTTTTCAACGTGACTATGGACATTTGCTACAATTTGCTTATTTATAGTCAAAATATCCGTAATGTTGTTGGTGATCGGGTATTTTTTGGCAGTAGATTTTTGTAAGAATTCACATCAAGGGTTTTGTTTAATTTATATAGGGAATGTTTTTATAAATTTATTGTTAAATATTGGTGAGTAAACAATACAGACCTGTCCTGTAGGCATATTTCAAGAACAGCACTGCGCTTCATGAAAAGATCGCAATGGATATTTCTATGCCTGACTGTACACAAATATGGTATTCAAATTTCACAGATGGCTTGCTAGAAATACCAAGCAACTACGTACATAATAAACCAACCTTGATTGTTTTTATCCCTTGCAATGAAGCTGAATAAAATATATTCCGTGTAGTAACGCAAACGTGAGTGTATACATGGATATGAAACTCAAAATCGTGTATAGTTGTACGTTCGTTAGTTATTTGGAAATCTGTAGTCCCTGCTTAGAAGAAAAGAAAGGCATATGCAGATCGGAGTTGAGGACGCGGCAATTGGGTGTAGTGGTATGATTTTCATTTCAAAAGCTGAAAAATTTCCTATAATATATTTCTCGGAGTGAAGGTATAACATACAAACAGGATTATATATTAAAAAGATCTATTTACCTTTGACCTCTTTATATCAAAATTGAAGGAGTCTTCTTAAAAGACCGTACATTAGGCGGAAATGAAAGTGTTACAAAAAGATAGACAGACGGACCGACGGACGGACAGACAGATCCAAGTGACTTTCCCTTATTTCAGTGAAAACGGCGGAGAATATAATACAAATCTTTCCATTCAACACTTTGAATTATACTGCAAAATGATCATATGATAAAGATATTTCAATCAGGGTACAAAATAGGCAAAGGGGCTTTAAAACATTGAAAATCTGACAGCTTTTTTTTAATATTTAGGCTTTATAAATAGAAGCAACGCAGGTTTCTTTTCTTTTAGGGTGGATGATGGGAGAATTACATAGATGTCGAAATGCATTACCTCAGGTTTATTTAATGAAAGAGTTATTTTTATTTATCAGACTCCTCTTTAATGAAAGAGATATTTCGGTAGAATAGCACTTACTAACTGACTTTGCGTTTTTGCATTTGCGGAAATTACGTATGATACATAGCTATCCAGATAAATATATTTGGTCAAGATGAAATATTAGCATCATGCAATTAAAAATAACTTTCTAGTACTGTCAAAAGACATCAACTTATATCCAGGTAGTACTTACATGTATTAATGTCATTTAAGCCTTGATATAAAAATATATTACCTAGTAATTTCATGATAGTTATTGCCCCGTGGGGATCCAGGTTAGAATAGGTCCTCAGTACCCTCTTGCTTGTCGTAAAAGGCGACTAAATGGGGCGGTCCTTCGGATAAGACCGTATAAACCGAGGCCCCGTGTCACAGCAGGTGTGGCGCGATAAAGATCCCTCCCTGCTCAAAGGCCGTAAGTGTCGAGCATAGGCCTAAATTTGCAGCCCTTCATCGGCAATGGTGACGTCTCCATATCAGTGAAATACACTGTAAGTAAGTCAAGAAAACTTGGTAGCAACTGTAATAAATTTCGTCGGGCACGAAGTTCTCATCATTGTTACAACAGAAATGCATTTACGTGTAAACCTCCTATCAGAGCATGAGGTTTTATTTCTACAAGTGTTTACAATGTTTTACATTCATCAATTTACTTGTTCATATTTATTAACACTTTTACCGAGTACCCAGGTACTCGATCGGAAAAACGTCCGAGTAATCGAGTATTAAAAACTGACCGATTTGACATCCCTTCTAGATACCCATTTAGGTAAAAATTATTTGTATGTTAATAACGAAAACGTTGTGTTTAAGATTGTTTTAGAATGTTTTTCAAAAGCAAGGCACGTTTTTTTTAATAATTGCAATTGTTCAACTAAGGACAACATATTTAACACTATCCTGTTTCAAATATTCTTTTTCCTTTATTCAATTACTTCCTTGTTCTTCAAAAATAGAAAGTTCACATTTTAATGTGTTTCATTTCATATATGATTTTTTTTTTGTCTTTTCAACGTGACTATGGACATTTGCTACAATTTGCTAATTTATAGTCAAAATATCCGTAATGTTGTTGGTGATCGGGTATTTTTTGGCAGTAGATTTTTGTAAGAATTCACATCAAGGGTTTTGTTTAATTTATATAGGGAATGTTTTTATAAATTTATTGTTAAATATTGGTGAGTAAACAATACAGACCTGTCCTGTAGGCATATTTCAAGAACAGCACTGCGCTTCATGAAAAGATCGCAATGGATATTTCTATGCCTGACTGTACACAAATATGGTATTCAAATTTCACAGATGGCTTGCTAGAAATACCAAGCAACTACGTACATAATAAACCAACCTTGATTGTTTTTATCCCTCGCAATGAAGCTGAATAAAATATATTCCGTGTAGTAACGCAGACGTGAGTGTATACATGGATATGAAACTCAAAATCCGTGTATAGTTGTACGTTCGTTAGTTATTTGGAAATCTGTAGTCCCTGCTTAGAAGAAAAGAAAGGCATATGCAAATCGGAGTTGAGGACGCGGCAATTGGGTGTAGTGGTATGATTTTCATTTCAAAAGCTGAAAAATTTCTTATAATATATTTCTTGGAGTAAAGGTATAACATACAAACAGGATTATATATTAAAAAGATCTATTTACCTTTGACCTCTTTATATCA